TTTGGCGTAACCCATGATCGTGAATTACACCCCCGTACATGGTTGTCCTAAACTGGTCTGTCTCGCTCCGTTAGAATTCAATTTAAACCACCTCCGTTAGGTACTTACCACGCTTCATTTTGTTGGTTACTCGAAGAAAACTATACCATTTAGTACTCGAGCATAACTAAGAATTCACCATCTCATTCACCAGTCGATTACTTTGATGTAAAGTGTTCTCTCATGCAACAAAATTTTCATAAAAAAGCAAGCTATTCCGCCTTGCCCATAAGCTCCAAATGATAGCACCAAATCGCAATTCCCAGTGCTCATCGCAACGAGAGAAGTATCCAGGTTGATTATTATTACGTTTAATCAATGAAAATAAATCAATGTGTGTTTTACTTTGACCCAAATTATAATTGGTAATTAAGTTCGATTTTATTGTAATTATTTTAGGTAACAATTTTTATAGATTAAGAATTTTTGGTGATCAAGTATTTGACTTTATAAATAGAGATAATGCCATAACCTAATTAGAGAGAGAATTATTTTGGAGAGATGTAATCTTTTTGGGATTTCTGTAACTTTCGGGGTTTATATTACAGAGATAATTTTGCAGAGATTGAGAGAATTTCTGGGATACACCGGGTTTTGATATCTATATTGGGTTTTGGAATACATGTGATATCATGTACTTGTACTCTTCGTGTTCTTTACATCTATAGTGAATTATTGTTCATCTTACTTGTGGAGATAGGGAATGCCGAACCACGTTAAATCTCATCTCATGTGTATATTTTATTTTATGTTGATATCGCTTTGATTATTTTTCCGCTTACATATTAATACAATGCGCATGAACTCCTTATAACGCTTCGGTTTAACTACATTGAGCCACATAGATTTCGCCACAAGGTAGTCTCACAGAACATGTGATGTCGATTCCAAGGCAACCCTACACATCGCACAACTCACATCCGAGGTAAGATTATAACTAATGCGAATATATTAAACAAATAATATTTACCTTTTCAAAGTTGGTTGTTTTTGTTGGAGAAACTAACGTGAGAGTGACAAGATTTTTGGTGTAAAATGTTGGGATTTTTATCGTATTTTCTTCCAATTTTACCCCTATATGAAACTATATAAAAGAGACTTTGATTTTCATTTGTACTCACTCATTCAATAATCTACTTTTATTGTTTTTCTTCCATCCTCTAAAAGCTTTTAAACTTTCAATTTTTTTTCAATCCATTGTCAATCGATTAAAATCGATAATCTTCTGACCTTTTTTTCATATTCTTCGGCCTTCAAGAAAAGAGCAATCAATTGAGTTTCAACTTCCTATTTTAGGTGTACGAAATAGGGAGTATTGTGTTAACCTTGGGGGATATTGTCAGTTTTTTACGATTACACCGATCGGGGCAAATTCTCTTCTAAGGTTGTGGACTACAGTCTACCACGACATAGTAACAATTTATTCTTATTCGTCTTATTATATTGTACTTATAAGTTCTAATTTATTTGTTTTGCAGTACTTAGTTCTTACAATTTAGAAGTGAATTGATATCTACTCAACATGTCTTTCATTGCCAACAAGTACATTCTCGACTTGTCCAAACTTGAGCCACTAGACATAATCAATTACAGTCGTTGGTCTTAGAAAATGATCATCTTCTTTGAACAACTAAAAGTTGACTACGTGTTGTTCAACCCACCTACCATTATTGACGCTACAATTCCTTCCCCCGATGTAGTTGACGCTTCTAAGATACCAGATGTAACACCGTAATCTAGTACGACCCAAAGGCCAATGGATTAGCATGTCACACGAGACCACTGAAGTGGCTACCCAAAATTTTTCTTTAAAACTGATTTAAAAACCATATGATGTAATCCATCCATAGTAAAATAAATTAGAACGTAATAATAAAGTTTACGAGTACGGGGAAACTCCCAAAATATCCAAATAATACAATAATGAATTTAAATAAAAAAGAGTTATAATTGAATACATAAGGGTTTATAAATAGTACATGCCCTGCAAGAACATCTCAAAACGTACTCTAAATGTCTCGGCTGATCTAGAACTGCTCTCAACAATAATGCTCTGCTACTAGTCACTCAAGAACATGTGCACGGAAACATATTTCCAATGTTAAGCCTACGAGCCTAGTGTCACACTAATAACTGTATTATACTACATGCATTCACTAGATGAGATGAATAGTGGCATAGGTATGAATACAAGTAAAATACTGATATGTACTGCTGAAATAGGCATCATGGTGTGGTTGAGGGTTCTGTATCTTGGAGCTTACACACCCCTCTAGCATTTTTGAGATACCCTTGGGTATTTGGGGTGAGATCCAGAACTATATCGGAAACATATACCCGATCAACTTACTCCGTGGAGTCTTGGGGTATCTACGCCCAGTCGGCTACTGAAGTGCCTTGGCATTGATTGGGATATCAAACTAAATGTCATATTCTGTTAAAGAGACTTAGGTGCCCTGACTATTTTTCGAGCGATAAATAAGACTAGTTTTATGTTATCATAGTTATTATTGTTTCTAGTTGTTCTGAGTTTATTAATATTTTCACTTGTAGTTTTATTTATTAATATCCTAGATTTATTGGGCCCCTCAAGTCTAATTCATTAACAATTGAATTACTTATCCAAAACTATCCACTAGTGCCGATATTGGCCCTACAGTATCGATATTGAACCCTATCTATCGATAGCCACCTCTTGGTATTGATACCTAATAACTGTTATATGATGATAGGAAAAGGTAGTACCTATACTCCTGAATGAGTATCGATGCTCTAATGTTGGGGTATCAATATTTTTTTTAGTATCGATATTGAAATTATGTTCGATGTTTGAGAAAATACCTTAGTATCGATATCCCTATTGAGGGTATCGGTACTGGTATAAATACTCCCATGAGTATCAGTACTAAAATTATATACTGAAATCTGCTAAGTGAACTCGGTATCGATACCACCCTACGAGTATCGATACTCTACCTATAGTATCGATACCCATTGAAGGAGTATTGATACTTCTGCCCCCAAATCCCTTTTTTAGCATCTAAAGAACAATATCAATATTGTTCTTCTAGTATCGATACTCGTTCCGATAAATACCCCATTTTGGGCATAAAAATACTATTTTCCTCCCCAAAGACCCTACTAAGGTTCCTAATTGTTAATAAAGTGTATGTATTATTATAGGAGTCATAATAAGGCTATAAACATGTTGAAAACACCTAAATACTAAATCTACCATGAACATGCTTCATAGCTTATACGACCTACCAAAACACATCAAATGATCTACATGTGGTAGAGTTGAGTTAAAAGTGAGCTACCTTGAATGTCTATATTGCTAGAAACACCCAATATTCAACCAAGAGTGAGTTTCTCCTTTCCTCTTACCTTGGAGCTTTCTTTAACCTCTATCAATAGATAAGAATTAACCATAAGTGTTACTAATGTCAATGGGGAGTTTAGAAAAAGGATTTAGAACATTTCTTGAGCCTTGAATCACTAAAAATGTGCAAGTTTCTCTAGATTTCTAAAACTCCCACTAAACCCACATTTTGGGATCCATAATGGAAATGAGAGATTGAAGGTTTATATTGAAGACTTGGAGTTGGAAATTATGATTCTTACCTTGTAAGGGTTTGTCTAGACTTGAAAGACTATAAAGTTTCAACATTTGGCTAAGCTTCTTAGAGAAGGAGGAGAAGGAACAAGACAAAGTTTGTGGGAGAGAAAAAGAGTCATCAAACGTGTGACCTTACAAACATTTAAAGGATTCAACATTTCCAACATAAAATGGGTAAACTACTTCCTTAGTCTTCCAAATTTTAGTCTATAATTAAAACACCTTTTTTTGTCTCATGTTGGGCCAAACCCAAGCCCAAACCAAAGCTCACTTGGCCCAAGTTTCTTTACAAGGCTATTTGGGATGTTACACCAAAGAAACACATTGCCGCTCTAGCAAAATTCCAAAAAAGACCACAAATTAGTTAGAGGCCATATGCTCAGTCACATGACCAAAAATATTTTTAATTTGTACAATAAATACAAACCTTCCGAATCAATCTAGGAGACCTTGGAAAAGAAATATGGTGTCGATGATGCAGGAATCAAGAAATATGTCATTGGAGAATGGTTGAAATTCCAAATGACTGGCGACAAGCCAATCGTGGAACAGGTTCATGCTTATGAGAAGTTGGTCTCACATATCCTTGCCAAAGGAATAAAAATGTATGAAATCCTTCATGCCAATGTACTGACCGAGAAATTACCCAAATTTTGGTCTGACTATCGAAACCTCCTAAAGTATAAAAAGTGAGATATTTCCTTGGAGGCACTAATCTATCACATGAAGATTAAAGAGGTAAACCACCTCAAAGATAAGAATATTGTTTCTAAAAATGATGTTTTTAAGGCTAATTTGGTAGAATCTTTTGGTCCCATAAATAACAGGTTTAGGAATGTTATCAATCTAAGTAGAATGATAATTCTCATCATAAGAATTTAATTAACTTCAATAAACCAGAAGCGAAGCAGAAACCCAACAAGTTGGTTAGATGCTACGTATTTGGTTAGATGCTACATATCATAGCTATAATCACCACAAGAACCAAAACCAAAATGAAAACAAACCACAAGAAAATTTGGTATATGATCCAAATTATCCATGCTACCTACCTTGAGTTGAAGCCGATGATGTTTCAAATGTTGTAATTAATGGGGTAATATAGTGGGATACACACCAAGGACCATCGAGCACACTTACGAGCATTTATGGAAGTGTGTGATTTATTCGTACAACAAGGAGTGTCTGAGAAGGTCTTGAAGCTAAAATTATTTTCGTACTCACTTCGTGACAAAGCCAACGTGTGGTTCAATTCGCTCTCACCCGGTACTATAGAATCATGGAATGAACTTGCCCAAAAGGTTTTAACATGCAAGGTTTCCAACATTCCCAACATGAATTTAGATTGAGGAATGACATCACATCTTTCTAGCAAATGGAGGATGAGAACTTGAATGAAGCATGAGAGAGGTTTAAAGATTTGATGCGAAAGTGTCTGATGCATGGTTTCTAGCATTGGAGTAAATTGAGATATTCTGTAATGGACTTAACATGCAAAAAAAGATGTATGTATATATTTCTTCCAATGGAGTATTGATGTACAAATCCTATAATGAAACTTATGATATCTTGGAAAGGATTTCCAAAAATGACTACCAATACCCTAATACAATGATTATGTCGAGAAGACATGTAGTTGCAGTAGTAGTAAATGATGTTCTGAACATACTGACCATACATGTGACAACATTGACTAAAATGATGAAGAATATACAATAGCTTAAAGGTATGTATGAGGTAAATGCTACATATCTTTTCAATTTTGTTTATTGTGGTGATAACCATAATTTTGAAGAATGTCCACAAAACCCCAAATATATGTATTTTTTGATAAATTAAAACAGTAATAACAATGTCAATGATTATGGTTACACCTACAATCCGAAATTATGAAACCATCTCAACTTATCTTGGAGATTCAAAATATAGCCGACCTCAATATGACATTATAATCAAACTTTGGGAATACACATCAACATTATTTGCAGTAACAGTATACCCAATAGCAGCTAATACTATAATAACAATAATCACATCATCAGACAACACCACAACAACAACATAATAATAAAACAATTCAAGGCAGTCTTTTAACCAAGCCTCAACTTAAACATCAACTGTAATACCCCTAACCCGTACTCGACCTGGATACGAGTCACAGATATCACATTGACTATTTAAAACTATATTCTTACAAAATAATAAAACATTTGAACTTATATTAAGAAAATACGATCATATGCTATGAAATTATGTTTCATTATAAAAATTAAAAAAATACGTCTTTATGAACAGTGCCATGAACAATACCATGAATAGTGTTACAGTGTACCGATGCACTGCTACAATGTACCGATGCACAAAAACATCGAATATAAATTATGTATCGATGCACTGCTACAGTGTACCGATGCACTGCTACAGTAACTTCAGCTCAAATTATATAAAACTCGTAAAAATTAAACTTTCATTAGTATAAAGTTACCATTTACATAAACACTTTTAAACCTTTACAAAACTCAATTATATGATTTTACAAAACCGATTAGAACATATCATATTCAAACCTTTATTTACATGCCAACCACTATAAGTATTACAAAATACATACTATTAACTTCTTTTCCGATCTGATCTTTGGAAAGGTGAAACTGACCTGTCTTGCATAACTTTTATCAATCTTCCTCTTCTCAAAACCTACGTGTGAAAAAATCACACACTAAGTCATTAACTTAGTGAGGCATATAAAATATATAATAAACCATAGAACATTTCATATAACAAAAATGCACATATGCATATATATATATATATATATATATATATATATATATATATATATATATATATATATATATATATATATATATACAATCATTATAATTATTTATGTTCCTATCATATTCATACACTATTGTCATTCATATTTCTTATCTCTTGTTCATATAATCTCTTATGTTCTTATCATATATCTTATATCTCATTCTTATAACAGATGCAATAAATCATAACACACATATATCATTTCATACAGTTCATATCACACATCATATATATATTACATAAATTATATTCAAGATTATCTCTTTATTAGCCCATGTACGTTATTGAGAACTTAAGGTATTCGAGTACATTGAGGTTGTGCACTATTTCTTTCACCACAGCTCGTATAAGTCTCACTGAGTTGCATGTGAAATTTGTCCCGAATAACCTATGTATTTGTCCCGAAGGACAGCATAGACCCTCAACTCTTGGCATGCCAACTATACCTATAACTCTCATATTATATAACATGGGCATTATCATTTATAACAGTTCATATCATTGCTCTTATGATCACATATTTCTTTTCTTTTGTCACATACTACACGTATGTGTAACCATCTATCTCTTATCATATAACATGTATCACGTATTGCATATTCATATGTCACATAGTTCATATCACTTTGCATGGAATCACATAGGTTGTTTCATATGGCTTATATCATTTCTCCTTTGTTCATATACATATGTCATATATTGTTCACATATATTCATATATACATCACATAGCACATAAAATAACATATCATGCATATCACATAGTTGATATCATATTTTTCATATATTCATGTAGTTCAATATCACATATCGCATATAATAACATATGACACGTATACACATTTTCATGTACTCATGCACACATAAAGATCACATAACATTTTAGAAATTACTTTTTACCATAATAACTCTGTCACTAGCTCATCGCAAGCCAATGTTTGATTGATAACATAAGTATAATTAAATTGCACTCACCTTAGCCTTGCTTTGATTCGATCCTAATTCTTTGATTGTTCCGGAACTTGTTTAGGCTCAATATCTACATAAACATAATTTCCAAGACGATTATCAGAAGCCTAAACCTTATAACTTGGTATTAATAACTTAGGCTAATTTAATAAACCAAACTGTAACTTTTCCTTTAAGAGTGTACCGATGCACTATGTATGCATCGGTACCCAAAATAACTTTGAAACTTCCATGCATCGATGCACCTTCAAAATTGGTCTTAGTGCATTAGTGCCCATTCATAGTGTACTGATGCACCTGTCAATTATAAACTAATTTCACCAGAAAATTCCATAACTTTTCATTAAAATTCTTCATGTTTCATTCCCTTTTCTATTCTTAACTCAAGTACATATACTTAAACTAATTTCTACTCATTCAATACATCTTTAACCTTAAAATTCCATCTTTCATATGGAAATCAATAATCATACCAAATTTTGAAGATGCTCTAAATCCAATTCTATCTCTTCATATCTCTGAATTAAGTTGATAAAAAGTCAAATTTAGTTTCAAATTCAACTTATTAACTCTTTTCCAAAAATTCACTTAAAACCCATTTTCTTTAATCTTTCATAACTTCTTCATCTTTTGATTTTAAGACAACTTAAGCGTTCCTTAAGTTTAAGTATCACCTAAGGATCAAAACCCAACCTTTAATTCAACAAATAATTAACTAATTAAGAAACCCACCTTTGCTTGTATGCTCCACGGTTGAAGAAGAAGAAGAAAGGAACAAGAAGAAGAAAGGAAGAATTGTATGGAAACTCATTTGATTAAAATGGATTCCATGTGTATTTCCCTTATCTTATAAGGGAAATAAAAATCTTTCATGTCAAGTGACAATTTTACCCTTTAATTCTTTTAATAATTACTAACAACTTTCATGAAATATCTCCACATAAATCATTGAACTATTCAACTATTCTACTTTTATCACCTAATTTTGAAATTTTATAATTTAGTCACTAACCCGATATTGAGGATGTTACATCAACATCTCTTGATTCTCTACTAAAGGAGTACATCTCAAGAAATAAAGATATGATCCAAAGCCAGTCAACACCACTGAGTGTATTAGAGAATCAAGTTTGACTTTTGGCTAATGCATTGAGCATTAGACCACATGGAGCATTGCCAAATGTCACTAAAGTTCTAAAAGCTCAAGGAAAATCTCATTACAATGAGCACTGCAAAGTCATCATAAAATGTAGTGGACTCCACCTTGGAAAATCTAATGATGAAAACAATAAGGAGGATGAGAGGCATGGACAACAATCTAAAGGCAATGAGCTAGAAGTGGAAATTGAGACACCAACAGTAGATGTTAAAGCAAAATATACAAGACATCAGTAATTTTGAGAAATTACATACAGTAATATCGATATCACTACCATATATCATGCCATTAGTATTGCCAATGTAGAAAAATCCAAGACTTTTACCTCCATTTCCTTAACGATTCAAGAAGACCAAAGAAGATCGACAATTTAAAAACTTTATTAATGTGCTAAGATAAGTGACAATCAAAATTCTGCTGATTGATGCATTGGAGCAAATTTTGAATTACATCAAGTTCATGAATGAGGTATTTTTGAAGTAGTAAACACTTGGTGGGTTCAAAATCATTGCACTCATTGAAGAGTGTACTGCCATGGTTGTGAGTAGATTGCCACCAAAACTAAAGGATCCAGGGAGTTTTACTATCCCTTGTGTTATTGGTGATCGATTTGTAGGTAGAGGATTATGTGATTTAGGTGTCATCATTAGCCTAATGCCTTTGTCTAATTTTCAGGAAATTTGGCATTGGAAAAGCAAGACCTACTACTATAACACTTTAGATTACTGACCGATCCATTGTTCACCTTGAGGGAAGAATAGATAATGTGTTGGTCCAAGTGGATAAATTCATTTTCCCCCAGATTTAATTGTTCTAAACTACGAAGCTGACAAAGAAGTATCAATCATATTAGGAAGATCATTCCTTGTTGTAGGTAGAACTTTGATTGATGTGGAAAAATGCGAACTTATAATGCGTCTTAATGACTAGCACATTAATTTTAATGTTTTGAATAATGCTACACATGATGATGAAAATGTTGAGTTCCACTCTATTGATATTATTGATGTTATTGTGCAGGAACACTTGGATGAATGTTACAGTATTGATGCAGTCGAGTGTAGTGTTGTGATAATAGAGGAATGCAAGGATGATGAGATTATCAAGAGTGAAAGAAATTATGTTAAAAAAATTGATTCATTGGACCTTTCAATGATAACAATTAAGGTTCCTCTACCTTCTATCGAAGAACCCTCAATTCTTGAGTTAAAACCTTTGCTTGATTATTTGAAGTACATATTTTTTTTTGGAGAAAATGAGACTTTTCCAATTATTTTTGTAAGAAATCTCGAAGTATCATAGGAAAAAAATTGTTCAATGTTCTGAAGCAACATGAAAGAGCTATTGGCTTAAGCATATATGATATCAAGGGAATCAACCCAGCCTTCTGTATGTACAAGATATTGCTGGAGGATCCAAATAATAACTCTGTTAAGCAACAAAGACGACTCAACTCGATTATAAAAGAGGTTTATATAAAATAAATCATCAAATGGTT